TTTTTTTTTAGATGAGGTCTCCTGTCACCCAAGCTGGAATGCAGTTGCATCATCACAGTTCACTACAACCTCAAACTCCTGGGTTCAAGCAATCTCTCTGCCTTGGCCTCCCAAGTGGCTGGAGCTATGGGTGTGCATCATCATGCCTAGATAATTTTTCTATTTTTAGTAAAGATAGGTCTCACTCTTGCTGAGCTAGTCTCGAACTCCCCGTCTCAAGCAATTCTCCTACCTTGGCCTCCCACAGTGCTGGGATCATAGGCTTGAGACACCACACCTGGCCACTCTGGTGTTTTCTGATCATTAGACTGGGGTGATGGATTGGGGAGAAGATAATGAGATGAAGTACCCTTTCCACTTCATATTAAGTGCACATGCTCCCATTTTGGTGGCACTAATGACGTTAATCTCTATTATGTGGTTATGATGGTATCTGTCAGGTTTCTCCACCATAAAGCTGCTATTTTTTCCCTTTCTATACTCTGTTCTTTTTTTTTTTAAAAACAGTTTCATTTTTGTTGCCCTTAGTAGAGTGCCATGGCATCATAATTCATAGCAACCTCAAACTCTTGGGCTCAAGTGATTCTCTTGTCTCAGCCTCCCAAATAGCTGGGATTACAGGCACTAGCCACAATGGCCAGCTATTTTTAGAGATGAGGTCTCGCTCTGGCTCAGGCTGGTCTCAAACTTGTGAGCTCATGCAATCCACTCGCCTCGGCCTCCCAGAGTGCTAGGATTACAGGCATGAGCTACCACGTCCAGCCCACACTCTGTTCTTTATAAGAGCATAAATCCAGACCACAATCAAGGACAGGGATTAAGCCCCACCTCCTACTATATACTTATACTATTTGGAAATCTTCTGTAAGGGAAATTTGTCTCTTCTTCCTGTTATTTATCTAGTCATTAATTGAGATCAGTACAGACCCTTGTATATTATTTTGTACATTGGCTTATCATCCAATCCTAGATCCTTTATTCATTTATTTATGGAGATAAGGTCTTGCTCTGTTGTCCAGTCTGGAATGTAGTCTCATGACTGTAGCTCATTGACTCACTGCTGCCTCCAACTCCTGGGCTCAAGTGATCCTCCCTGCCTCCCTGAGTAGCTACAGGTGCCTACTACCACACCCAGCTAATTTTTAAATTTCTTTTATAGATTCACTGTGCTGCCCCAGGCTGGTCTTTAACTCCTGGCCTCAGGCAGTCCTCCTACCTTGGTCTCCAAAGTGCTGTGATTACAGGTGTGAGCCACCATGACTGGCCTCTAGGTTATTTATTTTTGTTGCTCAAAGTGTTTTTTGCCTTTCATCTGTGGGGTTTTGTTATGCTATGTAGTTTTCTGCTTTTTTTTAGTTCTTTGTTTGTTTGTTTGTTTTTGCTGGGGCTGATTTTGAACCCGCCACCTCCAGGATATAGGGCCGGTGCCCTACTCCTTTGAGCCATAGGCACCGCCCATTTTTTAGGTTTTTTTCGAATCAAAACTATGCTACTTGTCTTACTCAGAGCAGTGTTAAGCGGCCAGACATTTGTCTAAAAAGTTGCTTTTTCTTCCTATCTCCTCTGCTTATGCCAAAGGCCAGCAATTGCCAGACATGTAATTTTAGCTAGGGGAAAAATTTTTTGGACATTTTGTTTATAGTAAGTGAAGAAAATAAGAAAAAAAATAAACGATCATCTATTAATCACCATCATCTAATAAAGTGATATTTCAATAAATCAATACAGTCAGCATATAGCATAGTTCTTATTTTTTCTCATTTCGCTGGCTGCCACTAGTCCAAAGACTCTTTGGAAATCATTTCTGCAATTTTTCTGTGGCCCTTTGGAGAGGAAGTGACCCCATAGAGTTATAAAAATTTAAGTAATCTGAGCTCTTCCAAGCACAATTCCAGATTTTTTTGATCAAATGAGTGAACTAGGGAGCACTGGAAGATGGGATACAGTTGCAGGACAAGGTAGACTCAGAAATGGTATTTCCTGTGCCTTTTATTTTTTTTTTGAGACAGAGCCTTAAGCTGTCACCCTGGGTAGAGTGCTGTGGCATCACAGCTCACAGCAACCTCCAACTCCTGGGCTCAAGTGAGTCTCCTGCCTCTGCCTCCCAAGTAGCTGGGACTACAGGCACCCACCACAATGCCTGGCTATTTTTTGGCTGTCATTGTTGTTTGGCAGGCCCAGGCTGGATTCGACCCACCAGCTCAGGTGTTTGTGGCTGGTGCCTTAGCCGCTTGAGCCACAGGCACCTAGCCTTCCTGTGCCTTTTTGACCCTGTGATTGCTAGGCACTGGGGAGATAAATTATGGAGGATCCTGGAAGAGATGTGTTACTATTTCTGCCTCACAGCTAGTCCCCTGTCCTGAAAATATTTCAGGTTTCTTTGGGAAATCACTCCTTGCCTATCCTTGTTCTTGTGGTCCAGTGGGACTGACCCTACTCCTACCTCCAGGAGTGGGTCTGAAAGGCCCAACTCCCACCTATGTGACTGGTCCAGAAATGGGTGTATCAGCCTCTCTGAGCCAAAGAGATAGGGGAGACATTGCTGGGATTCTCTTGGTTTCTGCAGGGCCTATTAGACTAGGTCTTATCTCTTTCCTAGGACATGCAGATGAAGGATGCACAGTTTACTACAGTGTTGGCTGCCCACTCACTGCCATCTTATGGGTTGTGGAGCTTTCCTGAGGTGTCTGGACAGAACTTCAGAATGAAGCACAGAACACCATGAGATGCAGAATAGAGAAAGAAACTGGCTCCTTGGTGGCAGGGCTGGAGGTACTTAATCAAGCCCTACCTGAAGCCTTATCGATACCCTTTCGACTTTTTAATTTTAATGGCCTTTTAGATCTAAGCCCATCTGCTTTGGATTTTCAATCACTTGCAGAACAGGGGATCTAAACTGATACATATATATTTCCTTATTTCCAAAATATTTCCCCTCTTTAATCAGTAGCTTGTCCCATGGCAGGGCTGGTCCCCATGATTTGGTGGGCACTTTGAGCCCACTCAAATCTCCCTCTCCAGAGATTTTTGTAGATAAATTACCAAAGAGCCCTAAAGGTTCACTTGCTGACATGAAAAGGGGTCTAGGCATAACAACCACATTTACTTCAAACACTTCTGAATAGCTTGCATGTATATTTTTGTAGCTTTTTGACTTCTTGTCATGAGGAGAATGTAACTAATGAACAGTAATATGTGTTTCTTTCTTTTTTTTTTTTTTTGGAGACATAGCCTCAAGCTATCCCCCTGGGTAGAGTACTGTGGCATCACAGCTCACAGCCATCCCCCAACTCCTGGGCTCAAGTGAGTCTCCTGCCTCTGCCTCCCAAGTAGCTGGGACCACAGGCACCTGCCACAGTGCCCGGCTATTTTTTGGTTGCAGCTGTCATTGTTGTTTTGGCGGGCCCGGGCTGGATTTGAACCTGCCATCTTAGGTGTATGTGGCTGGCGCCTTAGCCACTTGAGCTACAGGCGCCGAGCCATGTGTTTCTTTTTGAAACTAATGACATAAAGTTCAAGATAAGAATGCCAATCTTTGGGGCTATCATGGCTTAGAGCTCTGCTAGGATTGGTAGATTTAATTGTTTACCTGAAATTCAAACTTAACTGGTTGTCCTATATTTTATCACACCTTGAATTTTCTTGTGTGGTTACTGGCTACAAATACAAAATGACTGACTCTGGGTCTTTTGGGTTTGTCATTTATTTATTTTTGCTTGCTGACTGATTGGTTGGTTGTGTCATCATAGCTCACTGCAACTTCAAACTTCTTAGGTTCAAGCCCTCCTCCTACCTCAGCCTCCAGAGTAGCTGGGACTATAGAGGCCACCATGCCTGGTTAATTTTTCTATTTTTAGTAGAGATGGGGTCTTGCAAGAGCAAGGCTCGCTCAGGCTGGTCTCAAAGTCCTGACCTCAATCCTTGGCCTCCCAGAGTACTAGGATTTCAGGTGTGAGCCACCACGTCTGGTCCCAGGTTTGTCTTTTGGAAAAACAGTACACTGAACGTTGCTCTAAATCAGTGATTTTCAACTGGTGTGCTGTGGTGAAAGACTCTTAGGTATGCCACAAACATTTTTAAAGATCATTAAGTTATTTTCAAATGAAATTCAAAGCACAGCAAATATATTCTTTTTAAAACTTTTTTATCTACATAATTTAAATGTGTCTTAGAACTTTATAAGTTCAGGTGTGCCAGGAGATAATAAAGGTTGAAAAACACTTATATCACTTACTTTGCACTTTGCAATTTGGAGATCAGGATTCATGAGAATCTCCTGAATATTCACAAGGCATTTCTGGAAATCAAAAGCTTGAAAAGCTGTGTCAGGAAGCGGGGTCAGTATTTTAAGCATCCCTGTTTCCAAGAACACCATGGCTGCTTCTTCGGACCAGATGGGTTGGTCTGGAAACTTAAGAGGAAGATGATTTCTGAGACCAAATCATTCTAATTCTTTTTTTGGATATTCAAATTTTATCTTATGATTCAGATTTAAAGAAGATACACCAAATAAACACACACACACACACACACACACAAAGAAAAACCCAAAATCAACTTCTGAGTTGACTACTTTTTTTTTTGTAGAGACAAGAGTCTCATTTTATTGCCCTTGGTAGAGTGCCATGGCATCACACAGCTCAGAGCAACCTCCAACTCCTGGGCTTAGGCAATTCTCTTGCCTCAGCCTCCCAAGTAGCTGGGACTATAGGCACCTGCCACAACACCCAGCTATTTTTTTGTTGCAGTTTGGCCAGGGCTGGGTTTGAACCCACCGCCCTTGGTATATGGGGCTGGTGCCCTCCTCACTGAACCACAGGCGCGGTCCTGAGTTGACTACTTTTCAGCTTCATCCATGCTTTGGTAATTAAATGAATAATGGAAACTCAAGTCTTTCCACGCTGATAAGATTACCCAAGAAAGGATTCTTTAGCTGGGTGCGGTGGCTCACGCCTGTAATCCTAATACTCTGGGAAGTAAGGCAGGTGGATCACCTGAGCTCAGGAATTTGAGAGCAGCTTGAGAAAAAGCAAGATCCTGTTTCTAAAAATAGAAAAACTTGCAGGGCCTTGTGGTAGGCACCAAGTAGCTGAGGCGAGAGGATTGCCAGAGTTCAGGTTGCTGTGAGCTATGATGCCACAGCATTCTACCCAGGGCAGCGGAGACTTTGTTCCAAAGAAAAAAAGAAAAGAAGAAGAAATGATTCTTTGCTTTCATAGTTCATAAAGAGTTAGACAAGGCTCAGCGCCTATAGCTCAACTGGCTAAGGCGCCAGCCACGTACACCTAAGGTGGTGGGTTCGAATCCCCAGCCCGGACCCGCCAAACAATGACGGCTGCAACCAAAAAATAGCCGGGCGTTGTGGCGGGCGCCTGTGGTCCCAGCTACTTGGGAGGCAGAGGCAGGAGACTCGCTTGAGCCCAGGAGTTGGAGGTTGCTGTGAGCTGTAATGCCACAGCACTCTACCCAGGGGGACAGCTTGAGGCTCTGTCTCAAAAAAAAAAAAAAAAGAGTTAGACAAGAGCTATGGAACCTCAACCTAGAAAACACACTGGCCATTGTAATGTCAGGGTTAAACATTGAAAGAAATGGTTCTTGGCCAGGCATGGTAGCTCACACCTGTAATCCCAGTACTCTGGGAGTCTGAGATAGGTGGTTCACATAAGCTCAGGAGTTCAAGACCAGCCTAAGCAAGAAGGAGACCCCATCTCCAAAAAATAGCTGGGCACCTGTAGTCCCAGCTACTCAGGAGGCCAAGGCAAGAGGATCGCTTGAGGCCAAGAGTTTGAGGTTGCTATGAGCTATGACGCCATAGTACTCTACCAAGGGTGACAAAGTAAAAAACTCTGTCTAAGAAAGAAAGAAACAAACAAACCAACAAACTGGGGCTTTGATTTTCTCACTTGTAAAAGGTAGATGATATTATCTCCTTCACAAGGTTATTGTGAGGATGGAAATATAATTAGATAGGCATTGTGGACAAGACAATATTAAGTAACCCCAGCATCACCTCTTGGAATGCTGTTTATGACCCCAGATAAATTACTTACTTAGGTCTCTGTACCTCAATTTTTCTATCTGTCAAATAGGGGTAATATAAAAATCTACTTCCTAAGATTATGGTCAAAGTTAAATGATGCTACACACAGAAGACACTTAGACCAGCACCTACTGTATTTTAAGTGCTAGATTTTAGCTGTTTTGTTGTTATTGTTATTTTATAAGATAGAGTGATTTCTAGTCTTCAGAAAGAGAATCAGAAGTCTGAAAATGAGGTCATTATTTCTTACCCACCAGGTAATAGCCGCACTTTGATTTGTACCTACTTTGATTATAGAACTTGACAAAACTCCCAGACTGCCATAATATAAACGATCGTCCTTAGTTAAAACTGCCAGTTCATTTTCATCTAGGAAAAACAAAACAAAACAAACAAAAATTGAAAAGGGTGGTCATTTCCATAGACAAAAAAAAAATATTCTTAAAATTTTAATACCAAGTAATGTTAAATTAAAGAAGTAGAAAACTATTGGCCCAAGGCTGTCTGTGCTTTGAATTCCTATAAAAAGAACTACAAACTAACTTAGCACAGAAATAACCAAAACCTAATTAAGGAGTATATTTTTTGTAACTTGTAATCAAGTTTCAGCCAGTCACAGGCAGCCAACTGATCAGATCATGTTCAAATAACGTAAATGCCTAGGTGTAAACAATTAAGCTATTTCTGTATGTTATTTCCGTGTTCAGTCAATAAAAGCTCATTGCCCACATGCAGAGTGGAGCTCTCTGAACCTCATTTGGTTGAGTAGTCCCCTATTCATGAATTATCTTTTGCTCAAATTCTGATAAATTGAACATTGCACTGAACATTAATCTACTTTGTACTTTGTTTTAAGTTTTTAACAGTAATGAAAAGATTTTATACTTATGGTCTTTAGAAATATTGCTCTTTATTTTCTGCTTTTGTTTGCTCTCAGTTTCTTATGCACTTGGCTTTCCCCCTGAATCAAAATAGGCTACGATCGTGGAGTTTATGTGGAAGTCAAACAATATGAAAAATTGAAGTAGTTAAAGTTTTGGGGTTTTTTTGAGACAGAGTCTTGTTATGTCGTCCTCGGTAGAGTGCAGTGGCATCACAGCTCACAGCAACCTCAAACTCCTGGGCTTAAGCAATTCTCTTGCCTCAGCCTCCCAGCAGCTGGGACTACAGGCGTCTGGCACAATGCCTGGCTATTTTTTGTTGCAGGTGTCATTGTTGTTTTGTTGGCCGGAGCTGGATTTAAACCCACCAGCCTCAGTGTACATGGCTGGCACCATAACCACTGTGCTATGGGGTCTGAGCCGCAGTTAAAATTGTTTTGTTGTTGTGGAGACAGAGTCCCACCCCATGCCCTGAGCAAGTGCAGTGGCATGGTTGCTCACTACAACCTCAGACTCCTGGCTTGTAGGCATCCCACTGCCTCAGCTTCTGG